TACATTTTGCTATTTACCCAGACGAAATATTTTACTATTATGTATTGTTATTATTTTTATAATATTTCTAAACTATAAATGGCATATACATTGTTATTATTAAAAGAAATTTGGTATATTTTTATTAATTTGGTATAAGAATACGCAAATTAAAAAAAATGTAACAATTTTGCATACAATTATTAAATTTTGTATTGCTTACTCTTAATGATAAATTCTCTTAATAACTTATCTTTAATAATAATAATCACAAAATGCAACTTTAAATAAAATCATTAAAAAAATATCCTTTAAACCAGATATATTAATTTATTTTTCAAAAAATGGAAATTGCTAACACACAAATTAATAAAATAATTAAAAAATTTACGTAATTCATAAAATAGTGAAAAGAATTTAAGTTTAATTGCAAACCATAGAAGAAATTGAAAAAACATTTATTATGATTATCGAGACCGAGAGTCTCGATTCAAGACCGAGACCGAGACGAGATTGTCATTGTCGAGACCAAGCCGATACCAAGACGAGACTAAAAATTTCGAGACTAAATCGAGACCGAGACGAAATTTGAACTAGTCTCGTCTCGTCTCGGCGAGACCGCATCACTACACACGGTCCTGTAATATATTATATTGAAAAATAAAATTTCATTTGGCACAAAAAATGGTAAATATGGCAAAAAATGCTGTTTTTGGCTCATAATTGGAAAAATACTATTAAGAATCAATAATTACTATTGGTATTCTAGTAGTTACTACTGAGACTCCAGTGGTTATTACTGAGACTCCAGTAGTTACTATTGAGGCTCCAATAGTTACTATTATGACTCCAATAGTTTGAACTTCGGAGAACCTGAACATAATTATTATAATAACGCTAGAATCAAGGAAAAATTGATACATAAATAAAGTATGTAAAATAAATAAAAATCATTATTTGTGCATCATTATAAAATCACTGTCAGTTATGTTTTAATTATTTATTTATGAAATTGATTCCAAATTGGATCAAACACGGATAGTATTGTACCATGAAACGTTAATTAGATTATATTTTTCATTATAACATTTGTTATCATGAGATACACGACGTATGATGGAATGAAGGAAACGGTACCAAGATGATAAATGTTATAATGAAAAATATATTCTAATTAACGTTTTATGGTGCAATATTATTCGCATTTGATCCAATTTGGAATTAATTTCATAAATAAATTATTGAACCGTAACTAATAGTGATTTTTTTATAACGGTGCGAATAAGGATTTTATTCACCTTTATATCAATGTACCAATTTTTCTTTAGGTCTGGCGTTATTATAATGATTATTTTTTATTTTTACGAAGAAAAATACATAAGAAAACATAGAAATAAAATAATCCCCGAGTGGTCGCGCAAAACCTTCGAAAATTTATGTATAATATATATACTACTTCTTTTTATTGATCAATAGTAACTATTGACAACAGTAATTATTGACCAACAGTTATTATTGACCAACAGTAACTATTTACCAACAGTAACTATTGACCAACAGTAACTATTGGCCAACAGTAACTATTGGCCAACAGTACTAACTATTAGCCAAATTACTATTGGCCATTTTATTATTTATTAATATTTTTTTCCGTAAGGGAATACTCGATTTATCTCAAAAATTTGACATGATGGACATCTTTCGCTGACAGATTTGAATTTAGCGACCTTGAATCTATTAAGAAATGCTAGCCCTACTTGCTGACGACAAATAACATCAACTTGTTTGCTGGGTGATAATGTATTAAGAATGATTTTACAATTGTGTCTCATCCTAGTAACGTCAACGTTGCAAGAACCTATTCCAGGATGGATAGATAACGTTTATGGTCCAATAGGACTTTATATTGGCGCTGGAAAAGGAATAATACGAGTAGCATATGTAAATGAAACTAGTAGGATAGATGGAGTACCAGTAGACATTGTCATCAAAGTTGTAATAATCGTAACTTGGAAGGTAGGATTAACCACGTATGATCACAGGTATATATGCTTGCATTCTTAACTTTATTAAATTATAAATGTACTGTAAAACTTTTTTCTCTATTTAAAAATATATGAATCCGTGTTTACAATACAGTCGACTCCATTAATTCTGTTATATATTAAAAGACTATTATATAATTGTTATATTTTCTCTAGTTTCATCAAAGAGATTACATTCAAAAGAGTTGAAAACCAATTCTTAAATAAAGAATGACTGCAAAAAATGCCTGTTTTTCGATCCTTGATTTTGGAATTGAATTTTATGCTATTTTATGCTAAATGATAGCTTATTATGAGACATTAATCACAAAATGTTTTACGTTAAGCATACATACATTTGAATTCAAAAATATAAAGAATCAAAGAGGTCGTCAATTAACTACTAAAAAAATATAATACTAACAACATTTTACAGCACGAATTTTTGTTGAATTTTTCCAAATGTCGGTATCTACAGGTTGTTTGAGTTGCTGATTACGAATTTGATATCAGATTTTAAAAATTAAAGATGGAGGAGATAATATAGCGGACACAAACACTAGAACCATCATTTACTTCTATGGAAACTGTAATGCTGTGGTTTCTTTGGCTCGCTGACTACGAATTTTCTACGAATTCACATTTTGAAAAATAATCATTGACAATTTTTGAGTAGAAAAAGCATTCTTTTGATTGCTTTTTTATAAAATAGGCCAAATTCAAGTTGGTAACGCATAAAGGATAACGTAATAATTTTACTTGATATATTTAGAAGCTTTTTCACTGCGGACATTTTAATCTTACCTCTTCGGCAAGATAACTTTTTTATATCTTATCATCGAAAAAGGTAAAAGTAAATCTGATAGAAAATTCACAATTTGCTAAAAAAAGAACCACAATATAATAATTTACATAAAAGTAGATGATTGTTCCAGTATTCGAGTCGACCATATCATATGCGCCGTCTTGAATTTTTAAAATCCCACATCGGATTCAACAATTCAAAGAACCCATAAATAACGACTTTCAAAAAAATTCAATAAAAATTTATGCTATAAAGCGTTGTTAGTGTCATATTTTCTTAATAATTGGTGACTCCTTTGACGCTCTATATTTCTAAAACTAATCGCATGCTCAACGAAAACTTCTTTATGATTAATGCTTCATCATGAGCTATCATTTAACCAGGAAATGGAAGTAACTCGTTACTTGTAACGAAGTTACAGTTACAAGTTACTTTTTTGGTAACTTTACTAGTAACTGCGTTACTTTTTTTCTTTGGTAACTGTAACGGTAACGAAGTTACATTTTTTTGGTAACGGTAACGAATTTTACAGTTACGTTTATCGTTACTTTGCACATGATTGGACACGATACGACATAAGCCACTTG